TATTTATGAGCTGAATACAGCTCCTCAGACTGAAGAAGTCTTTCGGACGAAAGAAGAAACATTTCTACTTTTTTTGTTTGTTTTGTTTTTTGAACGTCCAGAAGACCAGACTTAACTTTTTTAGATTTAAATATAGATGTTTTTGTAGAATCTGGTTCATCAGATTTAATTCAATTCAGTTTATTTATACAGCGCCAAGTCACAACTGAATTTGTCTCAGGACACTGAACAGAAATATTCATATATAAAAATAATAATATTATTTAGGAGCAGACAGTTTTGAGTAACTCATCGCAGAACTCTCATTCGCAGGACTTGGATTCTGGACACGCCTCCAGAATGGGTCCTAAAGTGCAGGTGCAAATCCAGGCTGAGCTGAGCCAGGCTGAGCAGGGGTGTGCAGGGCTGAGCAGAGTTGGGGCTGATTAGGGGCAGTGCAAATGGGACATAACAAAGTGTTTCAAACAGATGCAAGTATTGTTTACATTTGTTCGGTTGAAGAAACTCGGCTGCAGAGTCACATCCAAGGATCACATCTCTCTCCCCCTTATCGGCTTTGGAAATGGCAAGAACCAAATATCTTGCATATAAAGCTTGTCAGCACATTGGCTGTCACTATTACAATGCCTGTAGCAACAAAGCTTCTTAGAGACCATTTTCTGCTTTTTTTTTTTTATTGGTGCAAACCACGACTACTGCACTGTATTGTTTTGTACTTTGAGTTCTGTTTGCCTGACATCCGTGAACTTGCTGACGTCACATATTGCATAGGGAACTATTTTTAGTAACTGTGACCAGCACTATGACATTTGATGACCAAAACAGTTTGGGGTACACAGTGTAAGCTGTAAGGCAAGGTGCCTGTTGTCTTTATTTTACCATTGTGCTTCATATTCTGTTTGTCTCAGCCGATGACATTAAGCTATGTCCTCGCTGCGCTGCGTTCATTATCAAGATGAATGATGGGAGCTGTAACCACATGACCTGCGCTGTCTGTGGCTGTGAGTTCTGCTGGCTTTGCATGAAGGAGATCTCAGACTTGCACTACTTGAGGTAAGTATTTTAGTCTACATTTTTAAAAAGTATTTTAATTCCATATAATCGCTTTGGAATTTTTACATTTATAGTCATGTGTCTTTTCTATGTAGTTACGACAGTCAAAACATTTCTTTTTATTAGAAACTTCTGCCAGGTTAGTGGAAGTTTCTGATCATTTTCCCTACTTGTGTTTCAGTCCATCAGGCTGTACTTTCTGGGGGAAGAAGCCGTGGAGCAGGAAAAAGAAGATTCTTTGGCAGCTCGGAACTCTTGTGGGCGCTCCTGTCGGAATCGCACTGATAGCTGGCATAGCTATACCCGCCATGATGTTTGGGATCCCTGTATATGTGGGTAGGAAGGTGAGGCGTCAAAGAAGTGTTCAAATAATGGACAAAATGAATCAACTTTCTGCTTGTAAATCTGCCTGGTAGATAATGTTAGTCTGTGTTTAAATTGCAGTTGAATCACAATAATCATTTATATCTAGTTTTATTCTTAGAGGTTCAACATTAGTGGAACGTCCTGCTGCTTTCTGTGAAAAACTGCTGTTTCTGTTTTGGAATATATTGCATTTCGCTATCAAATATGTACTATTTTCAGGAGGAAGCAACAAAATGCTGAGTAGATAATAAAGTTGCATAAATTCTAAATTAGTTTTTACGTTTATCTCAAGCTATCCAGATTAATTTGTCAGTTGCCGTGGTGCATAAACACTTTCATTGTGTCATTCACAAGTATAAAAGCGTGAAGTGTAAGATTTTTACTTTGCAATAATAAAGAAACGTTCAGACTCCAAAATTCCCCCTTCAAGCCTGCCAGCAAAAGCCAGAGCCAATAAACTTCCCCCCGTAAAATGGCCTGCGTTCAGTATCTGCGTATACTGGAAAAATGTTGTCTGGTCTTGTTTAATCTTCCTCCTTGCTTCTCTGGAGATGAACAGTCTTTCTTTATTGAAAATTGGTCATATATCACCTACTGTTTCATATCGACTTTGCTTTTTCCGATGTGATTCGTTTTAATAACAGTAAGAGAAGAGAGAGGAGTACGGTGCACATTTATTAATTGTGTTCAAGTTCAGGTCTGAGACTGAAGGGAGGAGCTTTTCAAGCCACAGTTTGAAGAACTCCAGGGAGTTTGTTGTCCCCACCCACATGCTTGAGGTACTCAAACCGTGGCTGTAGCACCACCTCTGTAACTGTGACCACATCACTCTTATGTTAATGCCAGCATTCAAACCACTGGTTAACGTCATCAAACCAGTTCAGAGGCTGGTACGGGTGTGGCCATAAGGGTCTTCAGAGGCACTTAAAGACTTTCAACACCGCAAACTGGAAAATGTTCAAGCTGACTGGCACTTATAATGAAATCACAGACCTCCACATACAAGCCACCTGTCACAATTTGGGTGGGACAGTTCCAGATTTTGTCCTGCGTTCCACATAAGGAGGGGCAGGACGCTCAAATGTCCCGCATTTGACAAGTGCTGGCTTGGCTTACCTGTTCATACTGTGTCTGTGTAGGAGGAGGGCTATAGAAGGGTGGTTTAACAGCTTCCTGTGACAGCAGGAGTGAAGGTACTGTAATGATCCTATTGGATGTAAATGCAGTTTCTCATCTTTCAGAAACTGTTGGAATTTTTGTGATAGCACAAACTTTGGCATGGTTATGGTAATACAAAGCAAGCTTTAAAAAACGTCTCCTGCAGCATGCTCAGAATAAAATATAACCAGTTTGTTGTTGAAGTTCAGGTATGGTTATTCATTGATTCAGCCATCAGACATAATTTATTGGGTTGAAAATGACAGAAATTTTTCAGACCCCCCACGACTGCTTCTCATCACTGGTATAATACTAATACTAATAGGTGTCCCTCATTGCCATCATCAAAAGTTGGCAGGTATGTCTCCAGCAGTACACGGAGTCAGTCCCTGCCTACATCAAGTGTCTTGATGACGTTATGCACACAAAGACAATCACTGTTGGAGCCAATCAGAAGCCAAGCCTGATGCGGGAGTTCTGCAGGCTGGAATGTCACCTTCAGAGCTGGGAACAAAGTGAGAACAGTGAGGGCTAACCTGTCCTTGGTATCAGAGAGGCCAGGAGACGATACTCCAGGAGGATGGACCATTGCTTCAGTGGCAGCAGAGACAGCTTGTAGTGACAAATACAGACTATCACTGACATAAGCCCACACTGCAGACCTGCAACAGCTCCATTTTTCTGCTGAACAAGCTGAATGATTTCTTTGCTCACTTTGAGGCACACAGCAGCACCCCTGCACAGAAAGCTCCACCCCCTCCTGGCAACCAGGTGATGTCACTGTCTCTGGACAGTGCAACAAGATTTTTTGTTGGGATCAATGTGCAAAAAAGGCCCATGCCTCCTTTGCAAAAGAAATCTGTGATCTCAATAGGAGTTGCCATGTTAAATAAAGGTGATGAGTAAATAAAAAAGCTCCAGGTCCAACAATACACCTGGTCATGTAATGAGAGCGACTGCAGAGGAACCCACAAACGTCTTCATGAACATCTTCATCTCACTGACTGCTGTCGAAAAATACACTCTGACTCACAAAGCACCATTAGGAAACAGCCCAGTGTGACAGTACCAGGTGCTGGTGTTTAATAAAATATAAGATTTTTGCACAAATTAACACAGCCTTACAAAGACTATGATTACACTCCGTAACGCTTAAAGCACATTATCATCACATGCAGGACTGAATATTACTTTGTCAGGTACAACATACAGCACTCTATTAAATTCTGTTAAACTGAGAATTTAAGTCTGAAATGCTCAAAACTTCTATTGTCTGCAATTTGGACGTGCACAGATTTTCTTTCTCTCGTGCACAGTCTTGTTACGAGTCAGGACCTGCACTGACCCAGACTGGAACAACATTCCACCCAGCCTGTTGGGAGCCACAAAGACTGTTATAATTTTTCCATAGTTTCCAAACTGGGCTGGACTTCAATCCTCGCTTAGATTTTCCTATTTTTTAGAGCTTTTACTTATACCTGTATGTGCATCATTTCATTTTTTAAAGTAGTTTTGGTAATGATGACTTGATGCTGGCGATGCAGTCAGAGACAGTATAGTTGGGTATACAGTAAATGCTGTTTATTTCTACTCTGAGCTAAAGAAGTGATGAACTCTTCTCAAGGTTCAAGGTAATTTTATTGTCATTCCCATCACATGTGGTACATGAAATGGAACAAAATTGTGTACTCAAGGTCCCAGTTACATCCCAAAATAGCAAAATATAGTATAAATAACAGTATACAAGGATCTAATACACTAAACGTTAATAATGTAAAATAATGCAGTGCATTAAGCAGCAGTCTGAACATGAGTCTTTTGTGAGCAGTATGAATACAGCAGCTTAATATAAGAACTCATGGATAATCAGCAGCACAGATAAAGTGACAGTCCCAATTAAAGTGGCATTACAGTGATTTGTCTGGATTTCTGTCTTAACAGCTTCATGCTAACACGATGGAGATATTCCAAAATTTAGAGTCCCAAGCAAAGAACAGAGATTGTGATTTTTTAAAGATTTTGAGTCTAAAATGGAAGTCGATAAGTCTAAAGTCTGCTCTAGAATTGCACTGCTCAAGGTGGCTGCATGTTGGAGTAGCTTTGTTACATTCGTTCTGAGGTATTGCTTTTGAAACCTGTAATTCCTCTTTATTCTGGATGTACATTGCTTCTTTTGGATGATTATTTCCTCTGGTATTGGATGATGTGCAGCTGGAAGGATTTTCACTGAAAACTTTTTACTTTTGGACATTTGTTATGATGCGTAACCATAAATCCAAAGATCAAAAGCAAAAACAGCTGGACTTCTGTTCTGTAGCTGAAGACGTTTCTATGGGCTCAAATTCCAGTCATAAATATTTTGCACAAGTAAAAAAGATTTGTATTTGTAAAAAAGAAAAAAAAATCTTAAGTTACAAATCTTTTGTTTACGATGTTCTTTTTACAGATATGAATACAAAACTATGTGTGAACCTCTTCCTGTGAGTTTCATTGTACAAGTACGAATTTTGATCTGAATGTTCCTGCTCTCAGCTGATTGGTCAATGTCATGTCAATCACAAATTTATCGATCCAATCAGAGAGCAGATGAGTTTGACTGTCCATAGACTGATATGTAGACGCCTCATTGAGCGGGCTGGCCTGTTGCAGCGGTACATCAGAGTGTCCGCCATATTGGATGTGGCAGATCTGCCAGTCAACATATCAAGGAAATAGACTGAACTTCACAAAGCACCATTCTACAAAGTGTTTAACTTAATGTCTGTTACACACTAATATATTTGGAAAACAAACAGACACCAAAGACAACATTTGTAACTTTTAATGTTATTATTAAAAATGTTTACTACTTAAACGTTTAGGTTATAGGTAAGCACTAAACTAACGTGTTGTTTTGAGTGTTTTCAACTACTAATGTGTGTAACTATATATATATATATATATATATATTAGTATATATATATATTAGTTAAAAGTCACAGATGTTGTCTTTGGTGCCTGTTTATTCAAATATATTAGTGTATGAATGACAGGCCTCAAATCAAAACACTTTGTAGAACGTTGTTTTATAAAGATCAGTCCGTTTCCTTGTTATAAGTTGACAGCAGATCTGCCACATCCAATATGGCGGACGCTCTGATGTACCGCTGCTAAGGCCAGCCCGCTCAATGAGGCGTCTACATATCAGTCTATGGACAGCCAAACTCATCTGTTCTCTGATTGGATCAATAAATTTGTGATTGACATGACATTGACCAATCAGCTGAGAGCAGGAACATTCAGATCAAAATTCGTACTTGTACAATGAAACTCACAGGAAGAGATTCACACGTAGTTTTTGGATTTGTATCTGTAAACAGAACACTGTAAAAATAGATTAGTAACTTGTGATTTTTTTTTTATATACACATACAAATCTTTTTTACACAAAATCTTTTATACAAGGTTACAAGTCTTCTTTTTACACATAGTTTTTTTTTTTTTTTACAAGGTTACAAATCATTTACACATGTTTTTTATTTCCCTCTGGGATTAATAAAGAATTATTGAACTGAATCGAGTGTCTTTAAATCCTCTATAATACTTACTCCTACCATTTACATTGTGTAAGTTCATGTAAGGTTAGGGGCAGGGTTCCAATTCATTCAGGGTTTTCTGACGCTTTGGGGTTTTATTTTATTTTTGAAGATCTTTTAAATTAAGCAATAAGTGCATGGGAGACAAAAAATGCGTGGTTAAATGTGACCCTTGAAAACTGGAGTTACCCTTAGAGTAGGACTTAACGTGCAACTATCACTACATTTCCACTGAGTGCACTGAGATGACTTCTGTTGTGACATAGCTCTTTATAAATAAACTGAACTACATTGATCAGTGATTGAGGTTATCAGCATCAGAAACCACTGGTCATTACCAGTGTGTCTGTTCTTATGTATCCAGTTGTGCTTATTATTGAACTTTTCCTGAGAAACTGATAATTCAACTTCTCTTTTTACTGCACACTTACACAGTTTCTTTTTTGGCAGATCCATAATCTTTATGAAGGTAAAGATATTTCCAACCACAAGAGGAACCTGGTGATTGCTGGTGGAGTGTCTCTTTCTGCCATCGTGTCCCCGGTGGTGGCTGCAGTCACTGTAGGTCAGTCTGTTCCCAACCTGTGCTTCCTCTTTATTAGTTTTCCCTTCTCTTTGTTGAAACACTGGTTCCCTGTTTGACTGCTGGCTTCTGGCATTTCTTTACTGTAATGTGTAGTATGATACTCTGCTGAAGTTTATTTTCAGAGTCACACTTTTTCATGATCTCTTTGTGAAGATGGCATATTGATGACTCATCTTATTCACATACAGTATTTACTAAGGGCCTGATGTTTGCTTTCATTCATTCTTTGACCTTGCTTGTTCCTCTCATATATTTTTTCTCTTACACCCCTCAGGCATCGGGGTTCCCATCATGCTTGCATACGTCTATGGCGTGGTGCCCATCTCTCTGTGTCGCAGCGGAGGTTGTGGCGTTTCAGCAGGGAATGGAAAAGGAGTTCGCATTGAGTTTGATGAGAATGACATGAATGCTGGCAGCGGGGCGGCTGTCACTGGTACGTTTTACTGCTGTAGCCTGATCTGCACTGGACTTGATACCCAGAATGCATTTTTGTGTTAAAAATTAAAGTTTGACTGTTTTTCACTTGATATCTGATACAACTGAGCACCTTTGTGGAAATAAAGCTGCTTGTGTTATAGGAGCCAAGCACTTTTTCATATCTTGATCCATTAAGTTTTCTTGTGCCTTTGTGAGAGAGAAATCAAGTTGGGTTTTTTTATATATAAAATAACATTTTTAATTTTTGCAGAAAGCGTTAATTTTCTTTTCTTTTACCTGTGTTATATACTGATAACTTGGATTTGTTTATGTTGTTTTATTCTCGTTGAAGACTCAACATCAGTGGCAGACACCAGGAACAACCCCAGTATAGGTGAGGGCAGTGTTGGAGGGTTGACGGGCATCTTCAGTGCCAGCGGGAGTCACATGGACCGTCTGGGGGCCATTAGGGACAACCTGAGTGAGACTGCCTCCACAATGGCCTTAGCTGGAGCCAGCATCACTGGCAGCCTCTCTGGGAGTGTCATGGTCAACTATGTAAACAGGTGCTGACAGTTAAGTTTTCCTGCAGCATTGGTTCTCATGGCATGTGTTTTGTTTAAATCTTTCGGCTCCTTTGTTGTCAGGCTCGAGGTGCAGGCTGATGTGCAGAAGGAGCGCTGCAGTCTGAGCGGTGAGTCGGCCACAGTCAGCCTGGGTACAATGAGTGACAACGCAAGCACCAAAGCAATGGCTGGATCCATTCTCAACGCCTACATGCCTGTTGACAGGTGAGCCTTATTTAGTATTCATTTAGGTTTGAATTTATGAGAAAACATGTTTCTAAAGATGACCACTTCAGTCCTTCTAACCATTTGATGAGTTCAACCATGTTTTTGTTTCAGAACTGCTGGGTCTGTAGCCCTTCAAGTCCTGTAAACATGTTTGTGGTGTCTTTTTTTTGCTCCTTCTTCTGATGAGGCATCGTTTTTGCTCAAAAGCAAATGTGACTAGTTCATTCCTAAATGTAGAATTAAAAGCTACGGTCACCGTTTTATTTTGACGTGTTTTTTTCTGGTACTTTGTGCTGCAAACATTCACTGATTTGTCATACATGTCTGGGCTCCTCCAACTTTTGTAGGGCTGTTTTAAACTTCACTTTAAAAAGTAATTACCTGTTTAAAGGTGAACCATAGTGTTATAAACGGCTTAATTTGAGCCGGATCCTGCCAGAACAGGATCTGGGAACTCTCTTATTTTAACAGGGTGCGTTCCAGTAACTGTTTGCTTGGATCCAGTAACTCTCAGGCTTACTAATAATAAAGTTATGTACAAATGTGACTGCCTTGCACGAATCAAACTTGTATTGGATATGTAAACTGAAAATAATTCCATAAACACTCATTTTAAACACAACAGCCACTTACTAGCATACGATCTGCCTCTTTAAGTAGCATTTCTTTGTCTACTCTTAAAAAAATCTCTGCCCCTAAAAGAGTGGTGGGGGTGAGTGTTGAGCTAACCAGGCAGTCATACGTGGGCAGGAGCCCACAGGTGCCTGGAGGTTTCACATGTGGAGTCGGACAACAACGAGCAGGGACAGTGTCGGGCTCAGAACTGTAATGCTGGGGGGGGTTCAAAATTTTGGAGGGGATTCCCTCTTTCTGTTCTCCCTTCCTCGTTTCATTGGTCCACTATGACTTGTTTGGTAATTTCGTTGGACAGATGTAGGGCTGGGTACCTTTCTAAAAAAATCGGTATTGGTACCTACCTACGATGTCGGTTCCTGGACGGTTCTTTTCTCGGTACCAATTTTGTAATTAATATTAATTCTAACAAGAATAAAATTACGTTACACATTACAGTACAAATTGTGAGCTTTATTTTTTAACTTTGGTATTTCTATTCCAAACAGTTTTCTTACATAAAAATAAGCAAATAATTTCCAGTTCAAAAGAACAGTTTCAAACCAGTGACACGTCAGTGTCTGCTACACACTGAGGACCTTTTCACTTCACAGTTTTTCTTCAGAAAATCAACATGTCTGCTTTCTCTGAACACAAACAAGCCCACTCCTGGCTGATGGTGTCTCCAGCAGTAATTCAATTCAGTTTATTTATATAGCGCCAAATCACAACAAAGTTGTCTCAGGGACTTTACAGGAACATTCACATACTTAGAAAAGCCAATTAGTAAAGTTCTCTAAGGAATCCAGCAGACAAGTTGAATCTTGGCTTCGCTGCAGTCTCCCATCCTGAGCAAGCACAGTGGCAACAGTGGAAAGAAAAACTCCCTTTTAAAAGGAAGAAACCTCCAGCAGAACCAGGCTCAGGACAAGCAGCCATCTGCTTTGACCGGCTGGTTGAGAGGACAGGGAGGAGAGTCAGACGAACATAGAATGGTAGGTCCAGGTGTATCTGAAAGACAAAAAAAAAAAAAAACATATTAAGAATAGAAAAAATAATTACAAATACAAAACAGGTTGAGTTTGTCCTCCAGCAGTCTAAGCCTAGAGCAGCATAACTAAGGGACAGCTCAAGAAACCCAAGCCGACCCTAACTATAGGATTTAGCAGAAAGGAAAGTCTTAAGCCCAGTTTTAAAACTGGACAATGTGTCAGCCTCACGGACAGAGATTGGAAGTTGGTTCCACAAGAGAGGAGCCTGATAACTGAAAGATCTGCCTCCCATTCTGTTTTTGTAAATTCTAGGAACCACAAGTAAACCTGCAGTGTGAGAGCGAAGTGCTCTGTTTAGTTTAGTTTATTATTTTTTTAATATGTAAAAAGAAAAAAAAATATTTAGCATGAAGCATAATGTCAAAACTTTTTGTTTTACATATTCAAGGGAGTGGGTAGAAGTATAAACTTATCAAAATTCCCACTCCTTAACCGCTTACATAATCTTATATTCATTACATGTATAATCCATCAATATAACAACTAATCCCATATTTATCCATCAATATAGTATCTATTTAAGTTAACTATAGTAGATGAACAATTATTATTCCTTTAACTTCACTAAAAACAAAAGCATCAATAACAAATAACAAAAAAAACAACAACAACAATAAATGAATAATATTACTATATATTATATCCAGCAATAAGCATATGTTTATATGATAATTTGAACAGTTTTATGTTTGGACATTGTTTAAGTTCAATATTCATGAAGCTCATTAACCTGTCAAAAAAAAAAAATCCATAAATTAGCTGCAGCATTGTAGAAGCTGCAAGGTTCAAAGCGGGTGAAAAAAAGTAGCTGCTTATAGTCTGGAAATTACTGTAGTTTGTTTTGTCCCCCCTCCAGCCAGGTGGAGCCTAGAGCATAATAAAAAAATATCCATTATACTAATAGAAATATAAAATAACGCGTATTAAACAATATCTGATATTTAGACTGCAGTAGTGATGGTAACTGCATTTATTTATTTTTTATGAAAGCAAATCATAATTAGACTTTTAATTATTACTTGAGTGACTCTGTTATTTTGGCTATTGTCTCATGCTGCCTCATGCTGCCTCATGCTGCCTCATGCTGGCTGCCTCATGCTGCCCGTGGTGATTGCCACATGGTAACAGATGTGGCCTCGCTGACCTTTGGCAGCGTGTTGCACCCTGGCTGTGAGAAGCAAAGCCAGGTTGGTCTTCATAACGACTTTGTAGAAGCAGCAACAAACCCAAGTGTTCTGTGTGGAAGCACGTAAACATCTGAGCCATGCTGTGCACCCAGTTTATCTTGAACTGTCCTGATTTCACCTCTTTTGTTCCAGAGAGGGAAACAGTATGGAAGTCCAGGTCGACATCGAATCCAAACCGGTGAAACGGAGACATCACAGCGGCGGCAGCAGCGTAGACGACGGCCAGGTCGCTCGCTGGACTTACTCCTCCAATGGCTGCACCTCCTCAGAGAGCAAAGGAACCTCTGCTAAGTGCGCCAAAGAGTCCTCCTCCACCTCGGGGGGCAAAAAGAGTAAAGGCAAGCTGCGCAAGAAAGGTGGGGGCACAAAGATCAATGAAAGCCGGGAGGAGATGGATGCTCAGCTTCTAGAACAGCGTAGCACCAACTCCTCCGAGTTTGACTCTCCGTCTCTGAGTGGCAGCCTGCCGTCGGTGGCCGACTCTCACTCCAGCCACTTCTCTGAGTTCAGCTGCTCGGACATAGAAAGCATGAAGACGTCCTGTAGCCATGGCTCCGGCGGCGATTACCACTTACGCTTTGCCACCGTCAGCCCCCTACCAGAGGTGGAGAATGACCGCCTAGAGACATGCCCCACTTCGTCGTCGTCGTTGCAGGGACATGGAGTCGTAATCGCGCCGCAGTCCCCCACCTCCATCGCCTTTTCTCTCGGAAATGGTTCCGAGCCTTCTCCTCTGTGCTTCATCATGGAGGAGAACGTCAGCCTGGTGTGTCCTGCTGAGCTGGACTCTCACAGCAACACCGGAGAGCTGCTGAAAGAAAACAACAACAACCAACCACAACTACCATCCCAAAGCCAGCAGCAGGCCAGGAGCTCCTGTATTCAGACTGATGTTTAAAAACTCAATACCTTAAGTGCTGCAGTTGAACGTTCTTTACACTAAAAGTCACTGCTTTGAGTTTACTCTGCTTTGTTGTTTCCTCTTCTTTGAAGGACTCAAGTCCTACACAGCAGCTCTTGAGTGAAACGGCTCTGTTGAGTTTTTCGTTCTGAAGAGCAGCCATGTGACGGATGTGAAGGTGTTTCTGTCTCGTTCGACTCGCCACGTTCAGAACGCAGCTGTCTGATTTGGCCGCTGCACATAATTTAGAAAGTAAACCACTGTGCCAATTTTACTACAGTTTTTTTTTGTTCTGTTTGTTTTGCAGGTTTATTGAATGAGGTCATCTCAGACAGAGACCAGAACTTTCTTTGTTTTAGGTTTACCCCTAAATGTAATCGTAACACACACACACAACCATTTTCTAGTCTATTTATTTTGTCCTCTTTGACGTATATTTGAAGTGAAGCTCAACGTAAAGGTTTGAGGCCTGGATCCTGACCCTGAATAATTTTAGCACTCAGATGAACTTTGCAGCTGAAGGTCAGGCCTCACTGAGCTGAGGTTGTTGGAGACTCTGAAAAATGGCACATTCTCCATCGCAATCTCACGGCTTGTTTTTCTAACTCGTGCACGAGAATCGAGAAACCCTGCAGCGTCTCGACGTTCCTTTGTGAACGCTGATGAGCCAGCAGTCCGAGCCCAGTGAGATGCTGGCCTGAACCCACTATACATGAACGCAGCTGTACTCCCAGTGTGGGAGAGATGGTGCTCAAGCGCTCTCACAGCTTGTTACCTACTGAATTCATATCTGTAGCTCGAGTTTTTCTTTTAGTGCTATGACGACTGACGGCCTGAGCACACTTCATTTCTGTGGACAGTTTGAGACGAGGTCTCTGGAAGGCCATGCTTAAAGAGATGATGCTCCAAGTTATTGTAACGTAAACCAGTGGGGAGGTCAGCTCCTGGAAACCACAAAGACGAGTTTTTCCTTCTGATTTATTCAGAGTGATGGTTTCACCTCTCTGAGTCAGAGAGCTTCAATATCTTTCACTCGTGGTGCCTTCAAGAAGCCATTTGTGTTTCATCTTCTAAGATCGCAAACAAAAACTTCCAGAAAGCAGAACGTTTGTGTTGGAGGGGGAAGCTCACATGCAAAACGTACTGTGGTAGACATGATAAATGTTTAACTGCCTACCAAAGACGGCTCTCAGGCTCTTGATTACTGGTAATCTTGTACACACAGTATTGTGCATCCTTTTCTTTTAACACCTTGGAGACTAATGAAGACAGACCAGGATCATCCAGACTGCTGTTTTGTACACACTTCACAAATGCTACGCAAACAGGCTGCACAACGGCCCGAGGCACCCGCACTGTTACCTGGACTTCAGACTACGTTAATGTTCGGCAATGCACAAAGGTTAATAGAGATTGTCTTTTTTTGTTTAACCTTTACATACTCCTGATTTCTCCTGTTTGTGTTCTCAAATGGTGCTGCTGAGCAGACAAAGTGTTCTGGACATTACTGTCAGTGTTGGCTGAGCCGGTGGTCCGCTCCGAGGCCACTGAGCCGGCTCAGGTGAACCTCTGTTACTGAACGAATACTTGCTTTGGTTCTGATGTCCTGCAGTTGTCCTTGCCTCTACGCAAGACAAGTGTTTTTTTTTTGTGTGTGTTTTCTTCGTTCCTCTTCTCATTCTTTATCAAAGTTCCATTTTCTTGTTCTAATTTGGACACTGGTGCCAGATGAAAATGGTCATTTGTGCAGATCAGTATAAGAAAATTATATATTTCTTTAATTTGCTTTACTGTATGCATGTAAATGCATATCCAAAAAAAATAAAATATATGTAAGAAATACATTAAAGTTTGTTTATTTGAAATAATACATTAAAGTCTGGTCTCAGAGGTACTTTTTCTATTTAAAGAACTTTTGAACACTTAATTTTTCACAACTAACCTGATTAATGGGAGCATCCATACAGAACTAGAAACAGGAAGTTGAAGCCACAAACGATGAGCACCTCTAGTGATGGGCTGCTGTACAATGATAAAGTTCAAATGATATCAACTACAGCCCCAAATAAATGAGTTGAAAAGGAGGTGCTGTAGATGCATTCCCGTCTACTTGGCAGCTGTGATCGAGTGCCTGACCACTGAGATCCTGGAAATGGCAGGAAACGCTGCTTGTGACAGCAGAAGGACCGGGATCATCCCCCAGCACCTGCCTGTCCGCAGCAACGAGGAGCTTGGAAGGCTGCTGGGAGGAGTGACCATCGCTCTGGGAGTTCTGCCTGGCTTTCAGGCGGTCCTGCAGCCCAGGGGAACCAAGAGGCCAGCCGAGTCTGAGTGGACGGATTGGACGGCATCTGCAGCCAGTTTCTTTGAATCCACTGTGGAACAGACCTTTACAAGAGATCCTTCCTGACTGCAACCATCAGCATCTATAACATATCTTAATGAAATGAGGATAATGAGTTACAACATTTAATTTCCCTTTGGGATTATTTTTTAATTGAATAAGTCCCGCCCCTCCATTTAAAGACTTTTTTTTTTATTCTTTACTAAAAGCTAAAAATACATGTCAGATTTTTTCCCAAATAATTCTTCCTGTGCTGGTGAATGTTCAAATATGCATTTCCTCTCCGTGGAGTTAGTTACCTGAGACTCAAAATGTGTTACGTGGCTGTTAGTGAGTTGGGAGGGTGTGCATGAGGGTACAGCCCTACACTCTGATCTTTATATTGAGGGTAAAACCAGTGAAGCTACAGAAAATCTGAATTTATTGCTCATTCTTCAGTTTGTGTCCCTGAACTTTGTAAATTGGGCAGCACGGTGGTGCAGTGGGTAGAGCTATTGCCTCTCAGTGAGAAGGTCGCCAGTTCAAATTCCAGCTCAGAAACTTTCTGGGTGTAGTTTGCATGTTCTCTCCGTGCATGCGTGGCTTTTCTCCAGGTACTCCAGTTTCCTCCCACAGACCAAAAACATGCATGTTAGTCTGACTGGTAACTCTCAATTGTCCCTAGGTGTGAGAGTGAATGGTTGTTTGTCTCATTTGTCTCTATGTGTCCCTGTGATGGACTGGAGACCTGTCCAGGGTGTACCCCTCCTCACACTGCTGGACATGGGCACCAGTGACCCCCCGTGACCCGAAAAGGAAGAAGCGAGTAAAGATAATGGATGGAACTTTGTAAATTCATAAAAAATAAAGACACAGACTTGTTTGGATTTACATAGCCCTCAATATTTAATAGTCATTAAACATATGATGTGAATTAAATTAGCAAAAATATTTTTTCATTTGCATATAGCTATAATGTATAATTTAAGATGAAGAATTTCAAATACATTAAATCATTTGGTTAAAGCTATAGAATGAAAAAAAACAAGACTTTCTCTGTAATATTATCTCCACAATCACTAAAACAGCTGAGGCACAGCACCTGCTGAAGACGCTGCTCGAGTCAGACCCGCCGTGAGGAGGACCTCATGTCACACCAAACACCTGAAGGATCTCCAACTCCTCGACTAGTTGCATAGTTAATCACAGGCCTAGCTGTCCTTCCAGGAAGGCATATCGCCTTTCATGACAGTGTTGTAGATGATCACCTCATAGTGTGTGTTGAGGATGACTTTCAGCTACTACCACGTCAAACCTCAGCTCAGTATCTACAACCAGCTGAGCTACAGCTAATGTGTTTAACGACAGCTGCTTGTGGTCCTCTTGGGTTGATCCAAATATTCAGTTGTACGTGCTTTATACGTTTCATTCAAATCTATCAGGTGATTCATCAGATATTTTGCTAACACCACAGACAAACGAATGCAAGCAAATCGTTGTCTTGTGGTGGGCATAAAAGAAAACCTGGAGGATTGTGTGTCTCAGAACATGGTCGACACCAGCTCAGCACGTAGTGCAGGAACTGCAGGTCCTCCACACACAGTTCAAATGGTCATAAAGTTACTTTGCTGGTCCTAAAGCAAGAAAATATCTTATTTAAGCTCCGTTTCTAAGTAATATTTGAACACAGTGAATATCTAAATGTGTCATTCTTTATTAAATGACTAATTTCAAATAGTTTGGAAATCTCATCTACTGAGTTAAAATATGGCAACACGAGCCTCTCGTGTAAATTCAGCGGTTTGCAGTGAAAAACACACATGAGACTGGAACCTAGTTCTCTGGACTCTAAAGAGAAAGGTCCATTAAGTCCCACGATGCCTTTGCAGCACAGCTGTAGTGGTGCCGGTACAAACAGAAGTCTGCTAGCAGAGTGGTTCTACATCAGTCCTGTGGTGTTGCTGTGGACACGTTCTGCTGCTTCCTGCCTCTGCGGACTCAGTTTGTGGTTTGCATAGACCAAAGAGTGGAGGTGA